GTTGTACTTAGCTTCAGGCTGCTCTGACAGGCCGATCCGTCGCCTGATGACCACTGCATCAAGTGGTGAGTTTTCGTCTACAAACTAGAAACTTATGCTGTCAGTTTATTACGTGCACTAAAGCTGACCATGTTACCGACCTCCCCTAGATCTTCAGGCTTGATTCACAACGCACGATGCCTCAGCCACCAGCGCATCATGATCTACAGCCGGCGGGATGTGTATGTAATCGTTGTAATCGCGCGGCGTCGCCGCGCGATCTGAGACCTATAACGGGCATGCGCGTAAGCGCTCGACAGTGCGCGGCCAAGGTGCGACCATGAATTGTGGAGGGGCTCGGACAATTGCGCGAACACTGAGCAGGGGGCTCCGACGGTCTGTGAGTCTTCGAGAAGTCCTTATTCTAGACTCTCGTTATCTATTTGCACACAGGATAGCGCTGCATGCGGCCGCCGATATCAAGCAGCGTCTCGGGCTATGTATTGGACCCCTGCATGCGCAGGTCGTCACTTGACTTACTCGGTGACACCACGCTTCCCTTACCTCACCCTCCCAGAACATCGACATGCCTCTCTCCTCGCCTACTGCATCCCCCTCCTCCGACTGCGAGGACCTTGCTGTGTCCGGCACGGGCACCCATCATTTGCCGCAGAGTCCGGCGAGCTCTGATTTCTCGGGCAACGATAATAGCTTCGATACGGGTGAGTTTGCCTTCGCTGATAATGCGGAAGTTGGCTTACATTCTTTCCATATTACCAGCACGCCTCTCCACCAGCTCTCAGCCCACCAGTGTTGAAGACGAGGACGAGCACGAGCACGACAGCGAAGCGAAGGACAAGCGCTATCAAGAGCTTGTCGCCCACTGGCCGTTTGCCCCGCGGATTTTTGGCGACTTGGTCAAGCAACCGGACTTTCCAGTCCTCCCTGGCGCCCTTGTCAAGGTAACAACTTCCGTTGTCTTTCGTTCACACTACTTAATTTCGAGCACAGGTACCCGACATTTCGAAGGAAGAGTGGGAGAGCTTGAAGGCGCAGATAGTGAAGAAGCACGATATACTGCAATACTTTTGGTGAGTTGCGTAATCTCTACAAGTGTCAGTGTAGTCGCTAATACATCTTACATGGCACCTACCAGGTTCCGTTACGACAGCAACATGCGTTCCCTGATAGGGGGGGCCGCCTCATATATCCACCAACTTTTCATTCAGGGAATGAAGAACTTCGTTACCAAACATGTGGTACAACCGATGGACAAGGACTACTCCCTGCCTGGCTCCATCATACTGGACGACGGTGCAATGTTGTTAGTGCGGCGGGATCACATTGAAATCCCCGACTACGTGCACGCCCGCCTATTTCAGGTCGAAGGACCACATTTCAAAGTAAGCTTAGACGTCTACGGAGTTGTGGTAGAGGTTGCCGGTCGCCAGACGTATGAAGACGCGCTCATCAGGGTACGTAATTCAGGTTGTATTAGGTGTGAATCGGCTCATCCTGGTACAGACGGCGCAAGCGATGGTGGTGGAGGGTGACGACGACGTATCGAACATCGCATTCATGGCACCCAGGCCACTGGCGGTTGGAGAGGAGGGACCCTCAGACACGCCTGTGGAGGGTGCCAGGACGCCGATTGGTGGAGACGAGATGCATCAACGATTCAATCCGAAGGTCTTCAAGGCGGAGGGGGACCCGACGAGGGAACCCATGTTCCTCTTCAGGCCGGAGCTCGCCACGTATGAAGACAATTTCGACCCTGACTACGACCCGGATGTGCTCACCTCCCTGCCACCGCTGACCCGGTCAGCGCAGTCTTCGCCCAAATTCAACATTGAACAACCCGACCTTCCGAGACCGACTGAGCGCGATTCCCTGCCCATCTTCGACAACCCAGGCCAGACCGTGTCTGACGTTACGTTCATCGTCGTGTCGATCGAGGAGGGCAAGCAGGTGGCACCCGAGGGCGTCGACATCAATGTCACGCACTGGGTCGAGCTACCATGTCCTCCGGACTGCATCTCTGGAGGCTGGGCGACGCGAGGGAGGGTCTACGTAGGTCCCCTCCAAGTTTTCGTATGGGCATTCCAAGGTGCCAAGGACCACGAGGAACTATGTGCACTTTACCATGCAAAGTTAGACGCTTGGCTGAAGTCTGGGCGCTGCATCGTACGTATATCATATTTTATTGTACCAACCTAACTGACGCTACTAACTACAGCGGGTACAAAAGGTATACCAGCCAGGCGAGGAGCAAGACCTGCACGACGAGTTCCAGAAGCATTGGCAACGCTGCTTGCTTACCGTGCGCAAACACCTCGTGAATCAAACCGTGGCGTGTACCGTGGCGAGCCTCCCGACTCTAGACAGCCAGCGGTACGCCGAGAAAATCAAGGCCAACCCCCCAAATGTGAGGGAGCCTGAGATTCCGACGCCGTCGGAGATGCTCTTTCCGATCGCGGAGAGCGCTGCATGGCGCACCGCCACGCAGCGGTTCAGCAAGGTGAACCACAAGCCGACCAAGTACGGCATGGACGGCCTGGGCAACAACGGGAACAATAACACCTTCGACGACCTGGGCGACTTTTCGGGCGCGATCGCGTTGGGGGAAAACGTCAAAAGTAACCTCTGTACCGACAACGTGAAAGCCCTAGAGCAGATCGCCAAGCAGCGGAAGCTGGAGGTGACCCGGGGCAAGATCGTCGAGGCTCCTATGGAGCCATCCATCGCTGAGGAGACGACAACCGGCACGGCGACCTCCAGTGGCTCCGAGTACGTACCGGGGTCCACTGCCACCGATGCTATGTCGTATGGCAGTGACTAACTTCAACGCTATCCTCTCACATACACCGTTTTGTCTCTTACATCATGTCTACCGTCTAGCGTCCGCCGTCTCCGTCGTAACCTTCACCACCATCGTGTATTGTATCGCATCCCTGCGCGAGTTCGTCGACTGCACTTGTCACTCGCAGGGAGTTGTTCTTCGTGGGGAGTTGTTCTAGTCACGTTCTATCCACCCTCGTCTCGTCTACGTCGCGTCATTGTCCTCGCTATTGCCGCTTTCATAATTATGCATGTAAATAAAGCTTCAAAAATCTGATGAATCGTTTGTGTCACCCATTACACAGGGGCGCGAGAACTAGCGCCCTGTGATCTACTGGTCAACGCCGACAGCACGCTGTGTGAACCATCACAACTGCAGACAGCCTGAGTCTACACCGGCTACTGTAAGTCACCGTGTTGAGATGGCACTAATCACTCCGGAGGAAGAGCTGGACCTAGTCGAGCTACTGTCCCGAACTCAGGGAGGTCTCAGCCCCGCCCTGACGCGCTTGCTGGAAAGGCTTCAGGCCCCTCAAGCACATCAAGACACAGAGTCTCATGGACAGCAGGAGACTCTGTCAGCACTCCTAGACAATGCCGGATTGAGTACGTATTATTTCACGCCTACTCATTTTTAATACATTCTTCACATTATCGTTGGCAGGTACGACACCGAGAACGTCTGATGACTTGCCGCCTTACACGTCCAATGTTGGTGAGACACACACCTCACCTATCAGCCAATATCAGGAGGGGATTCCGTCTGAACAAGGTACGTGTATGGTGACTACGCATCATCTGTCCTTGTTTTCCATTGATTTCGTTGACATGTTGCCTACAGATCTGCCTTCAAGTTGTAACCCTCAGCAGAGTGGGCCGCAGAGGCAGCCCAGGTCCTGCCGTATGAATGCTCGCAAGGAGGCTCAACCGTATCCGCAAAGACACAGAGGCGGAGAGGGCGACCGTGCAGTCCACCGACGATACGCCCTGTGTCCGGTACCGTCCCGTCCTCCGCCGCCACCACCCTGTCAACCGCCTTGTGCTCGAGGCGGTGTACCCTTCGTCGAACCGACCTGTATCACCAATGCCGACAGTACCGCCCCGGAGACTGGAGCAGACGCGGAACATTCAGCAGAGTGGGACATTCTACAGGAACCAGCGCTGGCAAAAGGAGCGGCTGTCAGGCGTTTTGTCACATTGCTGACGACCAACCTCGCCGACAAGCATGTCCTAGACGTGGCCAAAGCCATTAAGGCGAGCAGCGTCCAGATGCAGGGGTCGCCCCTACAGGACAACGAGCCGCTCCGTGTCCTCGCGTCTAGATGCTCGACCAGCTTGAAGCTCAATGCGGTCGCGAGCTTCTGGGTCATGGTCAATCTCATGCGACTCAGTTTCAGGATATCGGCGTAAGTTCTCACTTTGTAATCATTTCGACTCTGATCTCATTGGTTCCAGCATGATCTTGGCAGCTAAGAAACACAAGCCCAAACTCAATGTTGCGACGATATGGCGCAACACATTTGAGGGCGTCGAGGAGCCACCGAAGTTGCGGACATTCCAAGACTGGAACACAATGGGGATCAAGTTCACAAGACTAGCTGGCGGCGGTGAGCGTTTCCATGCACTTAGAAACAACAGTGACTGACGGTGGGCTGATCGTACGCACAGGCTCTCTATATCTCCTTGTCCTAGTGGCAGCACAGAACCTCAGGATCCCAATAGGAACGTCAGATGGCCACGTCGCTGAAGACATAGGTAACCTCATGCGTTGGCCGAATGGTAAGCATTTGCATGCCCTGCTTGATATGCTGTACTGACTATCTGTAGACACACCGGAGGGCCGCAAGGTCGTACAGGTTCTCATTCCGGCACTCGCGCTGCTGCGCAACAACCTCACGCTCCGTCTATCGGACATCGTACCTGTGAAGCGCAACAGTATTCTCGGTGACGATGACTGCAGCAATATTGGCGCGTCCGACAAGCTGTTTGATGGGCTTAAAAAGAAGTGAGTGTTTGCTGAATGCCTAGGAAGTGCTCGTGTTGAATGGCACATACCTCTAGCTCCTTCTGTCTAGTACCTCGCTGCACGGAGACATGGAGGGCCTATTACGACGTTCCAGATAGGCTCTTGAAGGGAGCATCCACCCAAGGCTGCAACCCTGACGGAACAGACGATCTGGCTGGGTTATCACCTCTAACCCAGCCAGATTCCACGTCTTCCAGTCCAGATATCTCGCCCATGGTTCTCTTCTCCGAGCTCCGGGAAGAGACCATGCACCATTCATCCATCTCTGTCCCGGCATACGCATACAACCAGCATCTAATCCATACGACGTACAACACTCAACACCCGGACAACACCAGGTATCCGTTGTCACGAGGCTGCAATGAAGACAGCTTTGCGTGGACAGAACGGGCCCGAGTCAAAGCCGGCAAAGCGGACGCGCCTGCAAGCCTGGAAGAGTTCCGAAATTTGGTACGCTGGTTGTGCCTGACATTACAAACTTGTGCTGACTCATATTCACCCAGCTCAGCAAGCTCTATGTCGACGGGAAGAAACGCAACGACGAGGCGTACATCAGGGTGCCTTTAGAATGTGTTCAGTGAGTATAGTACATCCTGTTCCCTGATACCGTTGATTAATGAGCCACGCTCGCCCACGTACTCCTCAGAGATGTCTTGACCATTCGAGACGCAGACGACAATCTCATGGTGTGCATCTGCACATCCATGCCTGCGTCTCTCAAGGTTGACCTCACCTCACAACTTGTCGCCTGCTTCCCTATCAATCCCTTCAAGACTCTTGATACCGCCACACTCAGTCACGGTCAGCCTATTGAATTCGCTGTGCTGTATTTCACATGGTACAACAGACACTGCACCAAGGTACACATCACTGATTGCTCAATTCATTTCAGACAACTGACACTTCTTTGGAGGGTCACGATGCGCCTGTCGATGTACCGCCTCGAATGCTCAGTCGAGCGAACTGTTCTAGAACTAACTACGCTCAAATGCTACCGTACCCATCGAAGGACATCGAGGAGCACAGGCCAATATACGACGCTCTGAAGACGATTCTGAACAACACATTCTGCTGGATCGAAGAGACTGTGAGTTTTTTAATTTTTTTTTTCCGATTTGTAGTGAACGCCTCACTTCCTCGTACTCTTCACGCAGATCCGGAGATGATTACCCGAAGAATATTCATACTTAGAGGCTACAGCTAGCATCCTGCCGGATCACCATACCTCCCCTGTCCACCCGTTCCTCGGTCTCGTCATCAATGTGAACGTCGCCACCCAAGCGCACCGAGACAGCAACGACGACTCAATATGCCTCGTACTTCCCATAGGCGACTTCGAAGGTGGCGAACTCTGCTTGCACGAAGCCGGCCTCGTCGTACCGCTTCAACATGCTCACCTATGCATTTTCCCCTCGTATCGCTTTACTCATTACAATCTACACTACCGCGGCCAACGCGCATCTGTCGTACTACACTCGGACCGTGAAATGGCCAAGTGGAAGGAAGGGGACTTTAACGGCTGGGCTGATCATACTAATTTTTTCTAATACAGTATCTACGGTTCACTGTACTCTCACTTCTGTAATTACTTACTGCATTAATGCCGTGCACACGTCCTGGACTTATTCATGCCATCTGGACATGAGAGCCTTGGGGCGCACGCTCGCGGGAACTTCGGAGCGCCGACGGGGGACAGCACGCAGAGTTCGCTCGAGGTTCGTTTACACTCGCTCTGTCTCGCTTCCATCATCCTTCCTCCGCTTTTGCCAGTGTCCCATCATGTCTAGCCCGCGTGCCACTCGATCCAGCGCCAGGAAACAGGAAGACACGGACAATGGGCCCACAACCAGGGCCGCAAAGTCTAGAGATCGGAAGACAGTCAAGGCGAGCAAGCCGGGCGCGGCGAGTAAGAAATCAACCTTGGCAACAAGCAAGAAATCCACGACAACAAGCAAGAAGTCCACAGGGGCAGGCGAAGGCGACGGCGGTGAAGAGTGGTCACCCACGCAGCAGAAGCAGCTGGATGAGCTGCTGAAACGCAAGGCTGCGTTGCAGAGGGAGCAGGACGATGAGCGGCGGGAAGGTACGTGAACCGTCAGTGCGAGACCCTGGGCGAGAGCTTACATCCCGAGCTTGACACCAGACACGCGCAAGCGTGCGGCCGCTTTGGCCATCGAAGAGCAAGCTTCAGACGAGGAGGAAGATCTGCAGCCCTCGCGCAAGAAGGCTAAGAAGGTGCCGGAACCGGCTTCGGGGTCAGACGACGATCACGATGGTGAAAGCGGAAGCAAAGGCGAGGGAGCCGGTCAGGGCGACGAGCAGGAGCAGGAGCGCGATGGTGACATCGCAATGGAGCAGGTTGCGCCTGCTCCGTCTCGTCGTGAGTGAAGTAAATTATGCGCGCGCATACTCTGACCTGCGCATCCTCAAAGCTAAACCAAGGCCAGCCTACAAGGGTGTGAGGACGCTAACCGAGGGAGAGCAGGCCATCACACAGAAACTCGGTACGTTACTCACAGTCTGTCCCATCATCACTCCCTGACGAGTTGATCGGATTGCAGACGTAGTGCAGACGGCCAACAGAAATAGAAAGAAGTCGGAGACGACGGACAGCGAGCGCAGTGACAATGGAGGTGATGAGAGAGTGTCGCGGAAGAAAGCAGCTCCAGGGAAGAACACAGGCTCAGTCGCTGTGACTCGGACCAACAAGGTATGCGTATGATCATTTCACATTAACTTGTACTCACTCACTGCTCTTGAACTCTCAGACAGCTTCCTCGAAGGGCAAGGCGCGAGCTGCAAGACAGGATTCGTCTGACGATGGTGACCGATCGGATGCCACACAGTCAAACGGCTCGGAGGCTGAGAGCGATGACGGAGAAAGGTTGAGCAAGGACGAGGACGATGTCATAGTACGTTCAATGTTTCATTGACACATGCTACCCAACTGACCATACGGAACACAACACCGCCGGACGAAATAGGAGATGCCGCAGACGAACACGAAGAAGGCGCGTACCTCGCAGCGGACCAATTCAAATCCGCGTGTCCGCGTGAAAGCCAGCGACCTGCCCGTCGACATGAAGCCGCTGGTCAACATGGCGCAATACTGCCTGCGCAATATACTGGCTCTCAGGACCGCGTGGACGTCGGACACGACGATCACGAGCTCTCGCCTTGTGTCGAACGACGTGCTCGTCACTGATGCCCTCAAGGATGCGCGCGACTCCGTCGACAAGGATGGCAAGAAGATGGTGACGGTGCGTGCCGCGTATAGGAAGTTGAGGAATGGGCGGGAAGAGGAGGGCAACACCCAGCGCAAGAATGTCAGGGATGTGGTAAGTACTGTAGTGGATTCCCTGATCGTAGTTGACGCTGTGCAGGTCTGGACGATCGCGTCGCAGCTTCGCAACGAGGTGAAGAGAAAGGCGAAGGTTATTGTCGAGCACGCATACGGCTTGAATGTCGTGCAGGGTCACAAGCGGACTCAACTTGCGAACTGGCTGCTGACGACGCACGTCATGAAGGTGAGGGGTGGCAAGCGAAGCATCCCTAACTTTGTGTTTGGGGAGATGCAGGTCATTTGGGACAACAAGAATACCATCAGCAAGGTCCGTATATCATTGCTCAGCGACGTTTACATTTCTTTATTGCACGATGCACGTCTCACGTCTCACATCAGAAATCACACGTCAAGGCCGAGGTACCATTCCGACACCCTGCAATCGCCGAGATCATCGCACAGCAGTGGTTCGTGGGCCATGCCAAGGCGACCACCCCGACGGAGGAGTTCAGTGAGGTCCCGGACAACTTAATCGCATTGGTGTGCAACTCCGTAAGTGTTTTCGTCGTTATGATATGTAATATTCAATCTTGTTTTCCAGATTGAGCTTGGCTTGAGGGAAGTCGCTGCGAACGCAGCGGTGTCATTCTCGAACAAGCTGTTCGCACCCAAGTGAGTTGACCGGCGTGTTTTATTGCGTGACCTACTGACCATCCTACAGATGGGACGACCTCATGTCGATCCTCGAGGCGATGGAACAGAACGCGCCGGACTATTACGCAGCGACCAAGAGGCTGCTGTGGGAGGGCATCAAGTAAGTTGTATTGCTTCAAGTTGGTGGCGGGTAGCTGCTAATATTTGTTGTTCCAGGGGAAGAGCAGAGAGCGGTGTCGGTACCGACACGGTGGACAGCGAGGACGACGACGATACGTTCGTCAACTGGTCGAAGCTTCAGACCGTTGCACTTGAAGATGACCGCGCGGATCAAGACGATGCTGGGCCGTCCGGTAGCGGTGCCAAGACGAAACCTGCGGTGCAACCGAAGCCTTCGTCTGGTGGCACATTGAAGAAGACGGCTGGGCGCGCTAAGCCATCCTCTACGTCAGCAGCTCCTGCGACGAGAAGTGCGCCGAGCTCACCGTCTAGGCCGAAGACTGGTTCCTCAAAAGGCAAAGCTGTTGGCGCAGCCGCAGAGCCAGGTGAGTGAGAGCATATTGGCAAGGTCCAAATCGTCTGATGCATGCCACATAGAAGCAGATGCGGCTTCAGACGGCAATGCCATCGAGGAGCAGGCCGAGCATGACAGAGGCACACCAGCAGCTGAAGAGCACGACCAGTTGGACAACACTGAGGGAGGAGATGCCTGACGGGACAGCAGCTAGTATGTCACTTACGCTTTCCAATGTGAGTCTGATTCCTATGGTCAGATAGCAATCTACTATTAATGCTGATTTCACAGAACAACTGACTGCAACATCAACGTCTCGAACTCGGAAGGTGTACAGTATGTACCGTTCACGTTAAGTTTCCATCCCAGGTTACGTACTCTTACGGTGTGATATTGTGGTACTACTACGCTGTGTCTCCTCTGTTGTACTTTTGTGACCTCTGTTGTATGCTGTGTTGTACTTTGCAGTCCCTAGCTATTCGTTGCTGTACCAAACTAGACGTGTCAATATGATTTACCGCTCCTGAATCAAATCCTGAGGGATAGAAGTAATGCAACCTGAATGCCTTGTTTACAAGACAGTCATGACGAGGAGCTTGACTCCAAGTGGTAGTGGTACTATTGGCTCTACAAGGTAATGGGATACATTGGGCTGTAACGTGTACTTGGTATTAAGGAAGCGAAGCAATGTGCTGAACATAATAGTACACATTTAATAACAAGTCATACAAGGAGCCACGCACCTTAGGCGACGGCACAAACTTACTGCCAAGTTATACCAGGAACAACACGTCTTGGGCATCATGCTCAAGCAAAAATGGCAAGGGACTTGTCTTTGGAGCCAAATTCACTTGGGCGTCTTGGGCAAGTCCCACAAGTAATATGCTTTTTTCCTGATGCAGCACGTTCCCAGTCACCTCAGAAATGAGGGGCAGGGACATGGGCAAGCATTCGTCCTATAGTGCGTCCCATAGCACTACCAGTTAGATAAGCGTAGAGAATGCAGAAATATCGAATGTACCTCAGTGAACACCAGCACCTCCACCACCCTCAATTCCTTCTCCTTCCCCTCATTGTCAGCCTTCAACAACTCCGGTATCATCAGCGGGTGGTAGAAGTCCTTGATGGCCCCCGGGAAGAGCCAGCCCTCCAGCATTGGAGGGTCCTCGAGTTCTGTCAACACGTCCAGCAGGGCCTCCCACTGTTGCATTGCCGGCTGAAGCCAGTACGACACCAGCGTTGGGCACTGTGACGACGGGAATATTGGACACTTGACAGGAATATTAGTGTAACCTGAATACAGAAGACGAGGATTATACGCACATAGTCAAAAAGAATGCCGAAGTGTTTGCCCTCCAGGCAGAGAACGGTGATGTGCTTGATCGTCTTGCGGTGGGGGCAGACGGGGCTGCGTGAGATAATGCTCGAGTTGGAAAGGACTATCTTGGAGGCGAAGAAGAAGACATGTTTGTCATAGGAAGCCATGTCGAGTAGCGAGGTGAGAACGGAGTTGAGAAAGAAGTTGCGTTTGAGTAGTCAAAGATAGTGTTTAGAGGTTGAAGAGCGTGGAATGATGGCCACAGAGCGTTCAAAATTAAAGTCCCACGAATAGGCGCTCAGTCACAGGCGCCGCACCGAGCACACCGTACAGCGTGAAGTCGCAGGTAGCTACACAAAATGACGAGTAGAGTGAATAGAAATGGATACATACTTTGGTAGTCACTCAGATATCACTGTCTGAAGGTTTCCCAAGTCACAGTAAGCTGAATAGATATTTGACGCAGAGTAGTACATGTTGTTCCAGGCTCAGTCTACATTGTACAACATCAGGAAACCCCCCCTGCGCAAATATGGCACAGATCGGCGGCAAATTGGCGTGGCGCGCCTGTCGCTGTGAATGGCCTGTAAATAGTTGCGAACGCCTCCCGAATAGACTGAAATGTTTTCATGTACATAGAAGTCGAGAAATGTTATGTGCATCGTGTGTCTTGATCAGCTGTGACTACAATACACAACAGTACATGTACAGCTCATGTCGTCCAGCTGTGCCTATCTGCTATTGTAGGTCGAAGACGTCGCACAGCTGGTGGATAGGAGACGAGGATGTATTGCATGGCTTGAAACGAGCCCTATGTATACCGTACATTGGGTGGCTACAACCTGAGAACAATAGCAAAACACATACAACTGAGCATCACTCGCAGTGTAACACCGGTGCAATGTATTGTCTAACTGGCAAAGCAATGACGACTCACGGCGTAGGTTGTCGTCGCGCTACGCGTGTACTCCAGACATCTGCTGGCCGTCTCACTCGCTTGCTGTTTTTCCCGCTGGCCATCTCGCTGACCTGTTTGTCTGCCCACCTGCTTGCCTCCTCACCTACCTGCCTGCTCATTCTACATTCGCCCAGCACGCCTGTGGTCACCATGTGTGTGGTGTTCATCCACACCCTGTACCCGTCCGCTTGCACTCTCGCCCGCTTGCACTCTCGCCTTCCCACTGGCCAGCCTGCCAGCTCGTCTGCTGGTCTGCTTTCCTTCCTGCTTGCTGGTCTGCCCGCCCGCCTGTTCGGTTTCTCATTAGCTCACCTGCTCACCCGCCCCCTTGTTCACCCACTTACCTACTCGCCCTGCCGCCCACCCGCCCGTTCGTCCGCTCGTTCGTCCACCCGCCTGCCTGCTCGCTTGCTCATCTGCCCGCCCGCCCATTCGCTCGTCTGCCCGCTTGCCCGCCCGTCCGCCCGCATGCCCGTTCTTGCACATGCCCGTTCTTGTGCCCGTCCGTCCTTGCGCCTGTCCGTCCTTGCACCCGCCCGTTCTCGCGCCCGCCTGTTCTCGCACCCGCTTGACCGCCTGGTCGCTTGTCTGTCTGCTTGTCCGCTCATCCACCCACCACCCATTCGTCGGCTATGTCTGCACACAGGGCTAATGCCCTGTGTGCTCGTGACTGACGTATGCATGGCTGCGCCCTGTGCTCGCCGTTAGCTCACAGGCTCGCGCGCGTCTCGACTACGTACCTGGTCACGACTTTGTGGCTGTTTGCTGACGTCGGGCGTGTGAGGGTCCATTGCGCCCCGCGAGTCCGCCAGCTGTCGGAATGGTGTGACTGTCGGAATGACGCTAGAAGGCCTTGTAGTCAGCATGAGACGTCACGAGAGATGCGTACCTGGACAGTGGATGCATTCTTCGGATGCGCGTTTGCTGACGGTCGCGGGAGCTTTGATCGCATTCAGCGGCCCGGGTAAGGGTGCGGGTTTGGGCATCTGCTCCGCTGTATTGCGGGCCACGGCGAGGACGAGTGCGGTGAGATGGGGATCTCAGGGCGAGCATTGGCGAGTGGGGACGAAATGTTGCGGTAGCGGCCGCGTACTGCGCACCCTCGGGAGCGGACGTGCACTGAAGGACGGCGTCGACGGGTAGCGTGAGAGCGGGCGGGCGTGAGAGGGTGAGCAGGCTCGAGAGGATCAAGTTGGGCCGTTGACGCCGGGAGCCATGGCACTGTCGAGCGTCGGCTTGGTGTCCATACGAGCAGCACAGAACGGTGAGCAGCAAGCGGGCAGCGCAAAAAGAGACAAGTCAGAGAAGTCACAATGTGCCTGCCCTGAGTGAGATTGGTCACATGACTCACCTCCCCACGTCACACATCTGGTCGTCGGTCAAATTTTGACCAAGGCGCCCGCGTTGGCGTGCTGCACAAACTCGACAAGACGAAGGGGCAAGCCTCCTCAAAGCGAGCAGAGAGGCTCGCAGAGAGAAGCTCGCAGGTGAGTTTGTTGTGCTTGCTTACTTGACTACTCTTTGCCCGCCCGCGCATGCGGCGACCTCTCAGCCATCTGTCACTGGTCACCTCGGAGTCTGGCACCACACACCAGGGCACTCAGGCCGCCCCACAGCTCAAACACGGCCAGTCCGAGCGCGCAAGCGCAAGCCTGAGTGCAACAAACACAAAGACAGGAAGAGAGGTGTATGCAAGAATGATGGGGATAGGGAGCGGGAGCAGTGAACAAAAGGAAAGTATGGCCACGAATGAGAATGTGGTGAGTAGCTTACCTACTGACAATTTACGTGTCTACATCTTCTCGCCCATCCACTTGCACTGTTGCGATGGCGGGCATGGACAACGAGCAGGGACAACAAGCAGACGTCGGGCGCGGAAGACAAGCGGGGACGAGCGGATTATGAACGGACGACAGGGAAAGGTTTGGCTGGCGAGGGCGAGCTATGAGAGTCCACTGGTGAGTGCAGATGCACGCGAATGAGCCCAGTAACGTAGACACAGAACACGCCAACGTGCAGCGCGACGACCACGAGCACTCAGGGCCAATGCCCTGCATGCATGCATGGCCAACGGACAGACGGTGGGTGGGCGAGTGAGCGGGCGGGCGGGAAGTCACACAGGTGAGTGGGTGAGTAAGTGGGTGAGCGGGTTAACAGGTTGACGAGTGCACAGGTGGGCATGTGGCTAGGTGGACGAGTGCGCAGGCGGGCGGATGAATGGCAGATGGCAGCCTACGCCACCCGCGACCGTGCTGGGTGATTGCCCAGCACGCACGCACAGCCAACAAACGGGTACCGGGCAAGCAGACAAGCAGGCTGGAAGTCGGGCAGACCGGCGGGTGACAGGGTGCATGAGCGGATGAGTAGGTGCGCAGGAAGACGGGGTGCGCAAGCGGGTGCGCGAGAGGATGAGAGAGGGTGAGAGAGTGAGAGGACGAGAGGGCGAGAGGGCAAGCACACGGACACAGGGTGCAGACGACCACCACGGGCACGGTGACCGCCAGCGCGCTGGGCAAATGCCCAGCACGCAGACATGGCTGACAAACACGCGCCCGAGCGGGCATGCGGACGGGTGGATGGACGGGCGGGCACAGCAACAGCGAGTGCTCTGGGCGAATGCCCAGCGCGCAGACACAGCCAACCAACCAACGGGCGGGCAGGCGAGCAGGCAATAGTACACACGCCAACTGCGAGCACCCCGGGCCAGTGCCCCACATGCAAACACAGCCGACGAGCGTACTGTGGGTACGGGCACAGCGGTGAGTACACGGGAGGGTGCACATGAGGAACGGGGACGCGCGGGCACGAACGAGTAGGGAGGGCAGGGAGGAAGACGAGCATGGTGGGTGCAGGCAACAAGGCCAATGCCGCCGAGGTACGTACCACCGAGGGTGGCTGACCCGTGGCCCACCGCCAACACCGGCGGAGACCCCGGGTAGGGTACGGGTAGCACCGAACATGGGTACAGGTACGCGGGTCGCGAGTGCGGCATGCGGCATGCGGACCTGGGACCTGCGGTGCTACCCATGTGCATCCCTAGGACTCTGCGCACTCACCATCGATCTTGCCCACAGCTCTTCTCGCGTGCGCCCCCTTGGCTGTCTGGCCACCCATGTGATCACCATCTTCGCCCTCTGTGCACGCCTCCATGCCCTCGGTGGATGTCCCCGCACTATACCATTTTGCCGGCAGCCTCTCGACAGGCCTTCCAAGTGGATGGCTGGAATGCGCATCAAGCTGTAGGTACGAGTTGAGTAGGGTGGATGTAGTGGTTATGCGTGTAAATACAAGCAAAACAATGTGAATTGAAGTACCCAAATTGCATAGTTGAGCTTGTATTTCCTTGCAATTCACAGCCATTGGATGTGAATTCACGCAAATTCGAGGTAAGGAATCGGGGGGGTCAAGTAAATGGGGTATCCAGGAAATTGATGCAATTTTGCATGAATTTGCACCAATTTGCGTGGGGTAGGTTTCCTGATGAAGGTAAATTCATTACTATACTCTACACGCACACGGTCCCACCGCTCAAGCAGCCGCAGCCGCAGCCGCATCCTCATCCTCCCGCTCTGGGTCAACCTCCCACATCTCATTCCCTTCCTCGCTGAACCCAGGGCAGGTCGCGACGATCCCATCATCGTCAGAACCGACCGTCCACTTCACCTTGACGTACGATGGAAGGTTTTTGAGGCCACGCGGCCACAAAAACTGGATGTGGGGAATAAAACTGACCTTCATCGAGCAAACGGCCGTGATACGCTTACACCCAAGTGAAAATCCCTCAGGGTATGGTGTGGTCACGAGCGACGCCGGTTTGAAGATCGGGATGTGGCGAAGGGGAAGGGGGAGGTAAACGGAGTTGTCGATCCACCTCTCGGGTGGCTCGGGGGAGGATGGCAGGTGTTCCCAGGTCCTGTACTTGAGGTTGTACATGTTGAAGGCCTCGGGCCGGTACCGCAGCGTAGGGTCCCTCCACCAGCAAAGCCCGGTGAAGATCTGGGCGGTGATGGGCTGGCGGAAGAAGAGCCGCAGCCTATCCTTCACGACCTCGACGACCAGAGGTATGGACATAGGTGATTCATTCTCCTACAGGCAGGGAACGTGATGGCGGTTAGCTACGCAGACAGAAGAAGGGTGGAAGATCTGAGATGCACCTTGACGTACACCAGAGCAAGGATAACCCTTAGCTCTCCATCCCCGTTGAGGCTTACTGGCAACGCCCCCGGCCTGAACACCGATTTAATGGCTCCAGGAAAGAGCCATCCCTCGAGCTTGGGAGGGTTCTGGAGACCCTCCAGTGCATCCCTCAATGCCAACCGTGTGGCCAACTTGGGCTGCACATAAGAAGCCCTCATGGGGCGGTCTGACGGGAGACACAGTGGACACTATGCATCAGGAAAAACCAAAGTGTCTTATTATGTCTTTTATTGGCCATTTAAGAACTGAAGATCCTTGAAGACAGTAATGACCAATTTACACAAGTCGGTTTTATAAATGTGCCCAAAAAGATGTGTTAAGTGCTCTTAAACAGGGACCCACAACATTAATGTGAATGAAGCTGTTGCTGGATTCTGGTAGGTAGCTTTGCTTTTATTCGCTTTTCTGGTCTTCAGCGCACTTAATCTTACCTGGTAGGTAGCTTTGCTTTTACTCACTTTTCTGGTCTTCAGCGCACTTAATCTTACTTATGTTTGCAATAATGATTGTGGGATTTATTCCATACTGGTACAACATGATGATGACACTTGTATACTATCTAGTGCATTGCAGGGGTACAGCCAACCCACGCGGGTCGCGGGTAGGGGTCCGGGTAGCCATTTCTGAACCCGTGTACCCGCCCCTATGGTCTGCAGGTATGCGGGCGCGCAGCACCTGTAACTGCCAAAAGAGGCAACCCTGCGAGTGCCCAAACAAGTCGCTTGCAGGATTGCCACACCTCCTCCCTCTCTCTTCGCCCTCCGACCAGCAACAACGGGGGGTCGACTCTGTTGAGCAACCATGCGCCCGCCCTCTGAGCGACGGCAAGCTCAACACGCATGTCAAGACCCTGCCAAGAGGTTCCTCCCGCGCCGCGGACAACTGACGTGCAGCGCATCTGCAAGTCCGATGAGCACAGACAAGGCCCAGCAAGACCAGCAGATGAACATCCAGGCCACATCGGCACGCGCAGCAGACTGCAAGGAAGGCCGCCGGTAACGCGCCAGTGCGACGAGCACGACAACCACGAGCACGCAGGGCCAATGCCCTGCATCTAGGCACGGCTGACGAGCGGGCGGCGGGCAGACAAGCAGACAACAAGAGTGAGGGCGAGGGTGAGAGTGAGAGTGAGGGCGAGGGCAAGGGCGAGGTGAGTCCAGGCACACGCGCGCGAGCTCACTAACGGCAGTCGCAGGACACATTGACATGCAGCGCAATGCGCACAATGACCGCAGGCACGCAGGGCTAATGCCCTGCGTGTAGGCATGGCTGACGGACGAGCAGCACACAGAAGAGCGAGCGGGTGGCAGCACACGTCGGTCGTGAGCACGCTGGGCAACTGCCCAGCACACAAACACAACCGACAAATGCGCGGGAGGGGACTCGGGAGCAGGCAGGCGGGCGAGCCGTGGGCGAACACCCAGCATGCACATACGGCCGACAGTCAGTCAGGTACACGCACGCAGCAAGCAACGAGGCGAGCGGGACAACGAGTGATCGGTACGAGAGCACGTGGACTACGGGACGCATGAGTGCGTGGATGAGCGCATGGATGAGCCGGCACGCGAGTGCGCAGGCGGGCAGGTAGGTACAGGGCGGGCGGGCGGCTGCGTTGGCATGCAGTATGACACGCACGTTGACTGAGAGTGTGCTGGGCAAGTGCCCAGCACGCAGACACGGCCGACTAACGGACGCGCAAGCGAACGGGCCGGTGGACGACTGGATGCACAGGTGAGCAGACGGACAAGCAGATAACCAGATGAATGGGACAGCTCACCGGTGCATAGGCAGGAGACCGGGAAGGCGGGCGGGCAAGCAGGGAGAGGGGCAAGCGGGGAGGCAAGCAGATGAGCAAGCCAGCCGGAACGCGCGACGACACGCACGGCAACCGTGAGCACGATGGGCAAATGCCCAGCGCAGACGCAGCCAATGAACGCACACGCCGCGAGGCGGGAGAGAGAGCAGGCAGGCCAGCTGGCACGGACGGGGACACGGTGCAGACGAGCAGCACACGCATACTGGCCACGAGCATGCTGGGCGAATGCCCAGCACGCAGACGTGGCCGATGAACGCCGGGCGGGCAAACAGGCGAAATGAGGGTGGGCACCAACGAGGCGGGAGGGCAGGCGGGCGGTGCGTACAGATGGGAAGCGCGCAGACAATCCCGTCTGCGGGTGTGGAGCTGTCGGGGGATGCGCGGGCGGATGGCGGGAATGCGCGAGCGCAAGTGCGGAGGACGGCGAGCGGGGAGGATGGAGGTGGGGGCATGGCAGTGAGGACAACGGGTGCACCGTTGACCCACTGACTTGCCCGCACACTTGCTCGCTCGTCCGCCTGCCTGCACGAGCCTCCCCGCCCTCTTGCACACTCCCCCTACCCTCTTGCACTGTAAGGGTAGCGCCGCAGGCGCCGGCTACATCTCACAAGCACTGAGGTACGATCGCTCAAGTGCTCGTCTGCTGTACGATTAAACATTTTCTTTTCCTTTCATTTCACTTTCCACTCACTTTTACTTACTCATCCACGACCCGGTCTATACTCATTCCGTATCCGTTTGTGGCTGTCCTCGGAGTGGCAGCAGTGGCAGCCCGAGTGGCAGCCTGTGCCACAGCTTGCCACTCATCCTTTGTACTATGACTCATCTCGCTTACATCACTCACGTTCTCACTTGACTCGGTCTTTGTTCACTCATGTATAAATACTGTACCTACGCCCATCAGCAAAATGGGCAATTGCTGAGCATCTGATCGGCTGACAGCCACCTCTCAGAAGCTCAGTTCGCTCAGACTTGCCAGTCGCCATCAGAGATAGAAAGTTGTCAGAGAGTATCTCTGTACCCTTAGGCTCGTTACAAGTCTAAATTTCTCATTTATTGCTTGTACAGTACTCAAACATACGCACCGACACTGATTGTTGAGGTACATCTGAACTCACACCCTTGACCTTGCGCAACGTTGGCCACCCGACACCATTATATTGCATCATTAGCTATATAAGTAATTAGAGATATGAAGCTCCCGCTGCCCGTTCGTCGGCCGTGCCTGTACGCAGGGCTAACGCCCTGCATGCTCACGGTCACCGTGCGCATCGTACTGCATGTTGTTACGCCCTGTGTCCGCCTGCTTGCCCGCCCGCCTACCCGTCCGCTTGTACACCTACTGTCTGTTCGTCGGCTGTGTCTGCACGCAGGGCATTTGCCCTGCGCGCTCGCAATCGCCATATGTGTTGTGCTTCCTTGCCGGGTCTTCGCCCTGCGTGCTCACAGTCGACATGTGCGCCGTGCTTGCACCTGTCATGTTTCCGCACCTCGTGCCCACCATTCGCTGGCGGCCGCCTGTCCCTGCCAGCTGCGCGCCCGTCCCCGCCCACCACTCGTTCGCATGTCAGCGCCACATTCATGAGTTGCAAGATACTCACCGTGCATAGAATCGGGCGGGCCCGCCGTTCCCCTCCTGGATGGAGGGCCGCGAGAGGGCATTTTGCGGGTCGGGCGGCCGGGTGAACAGACGAGCGGATAGATTGGCGAACAAATGAACTGGCAAGCGGCGGGGTGAACTGGCAAGCGAATCGGTGGGATGGTACGTGTGCGGGTGGGCAAGACATCGAGGACAACAGCCGGCGCGCAGAAGCGGAGCCTGGGGCGAGAGCGGGCGGACAAGAGAGTTAGCTAGCGAGAATGCGAGACTGACCGGACGAGAGCGAGCGGACAGGCGCGTGATCTAGCGAGAGCGTAAAGGCGAGGAGGCAAGACCGTACGAGCGGGCGAACCAGCGAGAAGGCGGGCAGGCAAGCTACCGGGGATGAGAGTGGGCAGGCTGACAAGCTAACAAGGATGATAGACAGATGAGCGTGCGGGCCAGTGGGTGGGTGAGTGTGCAAGCAAGTAGGTAGATAGATGCGCTAGCAAGAAGGGGGTGGGCTGGCGGGCAGAATGGCGTTGCGCGCGTGTATGGAATTGATCGACACGTCGGGATGCTTTTGCAAGTACGCGGGACACGTCGTTATCGTCGTCGGCAGTGTGTACATCAGGAGAAACATTCGACGTACACACCACACGACCGTCGGTCGTGAATGAACGGAGCACGCCAGACGTGCAGCGATGCGCATCCGACGTGTTGACGTGTGTAGCAGTGGGTACGACGTGGAAGTCGTCCTTCAAGAGCTGTTTTCGTGGCCAGCAAGGCACACGACGGACTTCTCGTTCTTCAATCACCTGCTGGTGCGGGCAATTGCAAGGACAGCCGTGTGTGGGGTGCGTCCGGTAAGGGCGTACCTTCGAACTTCGAGCCTTCGTGCTCGTTCTCTCCACTCAAACTGGGTCCTTCCCTCTGCTTTCTCTTCATGCTCCCCTCTCGTTGTTCCCGCCCCGCTTTTCTTGTGTTTTGTGCGGTTGTCTCGCTCGACGCTGGACTTTGCCAGCTCCAGATTCGTGCTCGCGTGCCGGTTGGGACGACACGAGTATCTTGACGATTCGGCGACTCGAAATCGGCTGGTACACGACGAGTGATCAGTCGGACGGCAGAGAAGGCGAGATGACTCAGCAGGTAGGCGAGATATGCGAAGGCGAGAAAGCGGACACAGGGCCAGAAAGCAGATAGGCGAAGAGGAAAGAACGCAAGCAGATGGGCGGGAAGGCGGCGGGCGAGAAGGCAGGCGGGCGAATGGTCTGCGAAGTGCGAAGCGCTCGATTCGGCAAATGCCGATTGCAGCCACAAGTGCCACGACACTTGTTCTCGCTGCTACAACTAAGGTCTTTCCTTCGCGTCCGGTGCCCTCTGACCCCTTTCTATCATCTCGCCTCTGTCCTGCCCTCACGTCTCGCCCTCATCTGCCTTCTGCAGACCTCCAGGAAATGCAGACCTGCCCGCCCGCAAGCAATGTAACACTCGCATCGGTCCGCTGCACGCCTCAAGATCACGCTTATACGGCTACAACAAGCTCTAGCGACGTGCCAAGGGCGTTGCCGGAGGCTCGCAAAGAATGGTCGGGCAGAGAGGAAGAGCGGCCACAGCCAGTAGGGCCAATTAATCAGGTCAGTGCTGCTTGTCACTTCGACCCCGTAGCCAACCCCGGCAAGCGAATGCCCAGCAAGGACGACCGGACGGAGATGAACACAATGGATGCGCCTCAAGATCGCAGGGCCCCATGGTCCGCCCACTGGCACCCAGCTCGCCTCGCTCCTCTCCGACGCCCTCCGCGATGTCCAACTCAGCCACATCCCGAATCCCAGCACCCTCGACATCCGTGCTGCCGACGCCCGCATGTCCTTTTCCCACATAGGCGCAGACGGCGGCGGCCAGCCCGTCCTCATCCCCGTGCACTACGCAGCCGCAAGGCCCGTGACAAGCTCCGGTGATGCTTAGTAGGGCCCGAAATTCAGGTGAGTACGCGGCACACCCCTGCTTGTGGTCTACACCTGCCCAGCCACGCTTGCCTCATCTCCTGCTCACCCGCTCATCCGTGAGTTGCGGCTGCAGGGTCAGTGAGTGCACCGCTGTCCACCCCGACCCCATTGCCAACCCCAGCAAGTGAATGTCCACCAGGACGACCGGACAGAGACAACCCCGACGAAGACAGCCCCGACCGGTTCGCTCGGTTCCAACACCTCGCGCAGTGTATCCTCTCCACTAACGGGCTTATCCGCTCGCCCGTCAACATCCTCGTCTGGTGCGCGCTCTCTGCGCTCTCTGCGGGAAGCCGCTCCTCCCCCGCCTGCACCGCACGGTCTCGTACGCCGACTTGGCATTCTGTGTGGACTTCCTGCTCCTCATCCCACGGACACCGCGCCACACCGACGTGCAGCACTGGGACAAGGCGTACGACCCCAAGTACGAGACATTGACGAAGACAAAGTGTGAGTACATGCAAATCCTGACGGCGCGTGACCAGCTGATGACACAATGCTAGCGCAAACCTGACAGATATGCACCCTGCGCGGCGTGTAAGGGCCCGCCGAGCGACAACCTGCCATGCCCCAGCCCGAGGCGCATAGGGCCGTCAAGGACAAGCATGCTACACCCTAGCCCGAGAAGGAGGCAGCCCACCGAGTACAAACACAACAAGCGGGCGCATAGCCTACCCTCGATGCATCGGCCGGACGAAGCCACTACGTGTAAGCTCGACGCATGATGAGCACGAGCCAGCAAATCAACACCCTAGGCCACCAGCAAGTTCCAGGGTGTGTGTGAGTTTGCGGAGCAGAGCCCGATGCACAGAGCCCAACAAACAGAGCCTTGATGCGCGCGAGCCCACCTGGCACCGGCAGTAGCTCGTACAAACCTACCGTAATGATTAGCATTATTCCAACTGTAGTGATCAGTAGATTAATATATTTGATTGCCTCGATTTCGTATGACCTGGCTGATCTGGCTGACGAACTGAGCAGTCTGACGGGTTGTCTGAGCATCCTGAGCATCCTGTCTGACGAGTTAGTGGCGAAAAAAATCGAGGTCATGAGGGCTGAAGATCTGAAGCAATCTGAAGCAATCTGAAGGCTTCTGAAGGCTTCTGAAGCCTCTGACATGGCCGTCAGACAGATTGCGCAAGTTCCTGATGGGCCAGGTAGAAGCCCAAGCAACGAGACGAGTATTCGCCCACTCATCCGCTATCCGCCCGCTCTCGCCTGCTTCTAGTGTTTTCCGACTTCACCGACGCTCGCCACCGCTCTACCCGCTAACGCTCACGTCATCGAACCTGGATTTCCCACATGCACACTCCCCCACTCACCCACCTGTTCGCTCGCCCACCCGCGCATGGACCCGCAGACCCGCCGTACCCGCACATGACCCGTACCCGTGAAGCGGGTACGGTACCCGGGCAGGTACGGGTACAGGTAAGCCCCAGACACCCGGGGGTTTACCCGTGCAATGCACTAATACTATCTGGTAACTAAACAGCCCTACGACTGATGGCGAGCGAACGACGGACGGATGACGGGCCGGGCGACGACCGGCAACAACTGAGAATGAAGGACAACGGAGGGCGACAACGATGGACGGATGGATGGAGGATTGATCGACGAAGGACGGCGAACGACAGACGACGGCGACGAACAGCGACAGTGACCAACAGACGAACCACAACAACGCACGACGATGCACAATGACGATGCATGATGACGATGCACGACAATGACGGAAAGCGACTGACACATGACAGATGGCAATTGCGACGGACTCGGACTGTGACGGAGTGCGACAGACAACGACGGACGATGACGGACTGCCCGACTATGACCGGATTGACTGCCCGACTATGACCGGATCAACGGACGACGGATAGACGACGAATGGGCGGATCAATGGACACCAGATCGACGGACAACGGATGGACGATGATGGATAGACGGAGGATGGGCGGATAGATGGATGGGCGGATAGTGGATAGTGCGGACAGTGGATAGCAAATAGCGGATAGCAAATATTGGATAGCGACAACACGACGGATGGATGGATGTGGACAGCGGAAAGACAACGCAGGGCGAGCCACAAACCAACGCGAGACATTGAGTGAGACATCGAAGACGGACAACGAAGACAGATGGCGACATGGCCGTATGAGGGAAGACGGAAGACGAGACACGACATTGAGCCTTCATACTCAGGCACCTTCCTCAGTGGGTGTGCCTGCAACAGGTTCTAGACTGAGTGAGCAAAGCACTGATTGGAGTCGAGTGTGAACTCACCTTGCCCAGACTCTTGAAGCTCATCTACCTGTACTCCCTCACCATCATTGACTTCGCTGCGACCTCCAGCATCACCTTCCCTGTCATCGCCACTGCCTGCCTCGCCGCCTGCCTCGCCCTTGTCACCCTCATCTTCCTGGTCACCACGTTGTTTCTTCCTAGACTTCGACGATGCAGCGCCTGCGCTCCGAGGTTTCTTCGAAGGGCTGGGAGGTGTCTTCTTCGAGCTGGGAGGTGTCTTCTTCCCCTTCGCCGACTCCGTGTTCTTCGTGGTCTTTGATGAGCTCGATGGCTTAGCTTTTGCTGTGCTCGACAAAGGCTTGGTCGCGGTCGCGGCCTTTGACGTGCCAGGCTCCTTGCTATGGCTCCGTGGCTTGGATGTGCCACAGTGTAACTGCAGCAGCGGGATGAAGCCACCTGGCTGCTCATCCCCCGACACCTCGACTGCATCAGGTGTGGCATTGAGACGAGTGCTGTAACCACTGTCAGCAATTATCTCAGTCTCAAACTGAACATTACCTGATGTCCTTCCAAATCAATTCGTGTGTCTCCTCCAGATAGTCGGTGGCTCGATCTTCCAAGGTCTCGAGAACTGCCATCACTCCATCCCATCTAGGATAGGCGAGTGTTAACTGACTACAAGCAACTTGATGTGATGTAAGAAATACTGACTTTCCCGCAAAATTCTTGTTTGAGAACACCGTCACAGTAGCTTGGTTGTGCAATGCCACCTCCATCAATGCTGCTTCGATCTGTTGGTATGCCATTGCATGAGTAGCTTAAAGCATGAACACAATAGGAAAGTAAATACTTACTGCATTGCACGAGAGGGCAATAAGGTTCAGCGGTACTTTGCTGAATTCTTCAAATGCAGAGTTGATACTCGCATCTGGGTGTCCCGCCAGGCCATAATACTGGTAGATCAGCTCTGGAATGCAATCACTTCGGAACGGCTCCGTCGGCTCGACCTTCATACGCTAGGATGGTAGTTCATTCTCATGTTAGTTACTTCTGGTCTTGAATGCTAGTATCGTACCTCTCTGTCCAACTTCTTCTTGCGGTCGAAGTGGAACTCTATGCCGCCGAAGACAAAATTGGCGATGTTGCGTTTACGACTGCCGTCGGTGACCGTCGTGGAGTGTGTCTCTAGAAGCCAGCCGGCGATCTCAGTCCTTTGAGCCACGGACAGACCATTGAGCTTGAAGACCTGCTCAACGACCTGTTTCGCCTTTTTCTTGAGCTCATTTCGCGTCTGTGATGAGCACGTCCAAACCTATAGTTGATCAGAGCCTCTGACATTCTGAACAATGGACTGTTTAGACTCACCACAGTGTAGACTTTCTTTCTCATTGCCTCTCGTTCTTCATCTGTCATCTCCTTCCGAACTTCTGCTTTCCTTGCCTTCAGGTCCCCGTCCTTCTTTGCCTTCAGGCCTTGCAGCATCTGGAATGCCTTCTTCAGGTCTGCATTGTGTTTATTGCTCTTCCCGTGTCCGAGATGCGCTTTGCGAATGCATGCACCAATCATCTTGTCACTGGAAGGCAGGCGGTTAGAGGTAATCGACGTCTCCTTAGTCCAGGCAGCCTTGAGGGCAATATGGAGGTGCAGACAGTTCTGCGCGGCAGATACAAGGGACTTGACACTGGCGGGCAGCATCAGGAAAAACCGCCCGCAGGGCAGGAGCTCTTAGAATTAATTTGAAGATAGCCAAACCGGTTTGAAGCGGTCAAACCGTTCAAACATGACTCAATACAAGTACCCCTGTTTAAAGGTGTCAAAAATCTATCAAACCTGTTGCAAGATTGCCTCGTTTGCTTGAATCAAATTGCTATGGTTTGGTCTTTACTATGAATACATCCATAGCAGGGCTTTCCAGGGGGAACATTTGAGTTTGGTATGATTGAAATGTCTTCAGAGGATTGCCAAAATATGTTTAATGACTTTCTTGTTCTCTCTCATTTGATTCAAAGCACACGGTTTCAGGGTCGCCGTTCCCTCAGGGTTGTTATTCCTCAATTTATTTACCAGCCCGGATAACACACATTCATGAATTAGCTGTCCTAAATATATTGATTTTGTACATGGGCGTGATGGGTGATGGTACACAGCGGCAATCCTACACGACGGGTATGCGAATGCAGTGGACATGGAACAATGTGAGGGGCTGGATATCATTGGAGGGCAGTGGAGAGCAGTACAACAACAGAGAACAATAATGCCAGCAGAGATGATAGGCATGAGGATGACGCCAGCGAAGACGATGCCAGCAAAGATGAGGAGAGAGGGGAAAGACAGTATCTTACAAGCGACCCTCCAACATCAGAGCCCTGTGGATAGCTCAGTCTTGCAACCTACTGATGAGATAACCCACGCACCTAGGCCTTATCCTTGGACACAGCATTGGACGGCCCAGCCTGAGCGTTGTCAGGAGCACCACCCCTCGACCACCACCTAGCCTTCACCTTCCCAGCATTGATAGGGTCTAGGTCCGCATTGGACTTCTCGTCGCCTTGCCCACTCTGCGAATCCACCCAAAGCCCAGCGAACACCCTGAACGATTGTTAGAAATGTAATCAAATAAAGTCAGCC